CACACACTCTCAAACACTCTTTAAATTTTTAGGGGCTGGGAAGGTAGCTTAGTTAGTAAGGTGCTTGTTTTACAAGTCTGAGGATCTAAGTTCAGATCCCCAGAACTCATGCTAGGAGAAATGAATAAATGAAAAGCCAGGCGAGCGGCGAGTTCCTGTGATTCCAGCACTGGGGAGGCAGAAGTGAGAGGATTCATAAGGCTTGCTGCTCAGCCAGTTTTGGGGAATTCAGCCAGGCTCCAGGGTCGGTGAGAGTTTCATGCACATCTGCACACATATGTGCCTACAGGCACACATGAACAGTTTGACACGCAAATGTTTCCAACGGTCACATTGAAATGCTCAAATGACAAATAAAGGCATCCTGTGGTGACAGAGTGTGGAGAAGTGGCAGAGAGGAGACTAGCAGGACACAGGTGATGTAAGGGAGGAAACAGAAAAATGGGGGAGGGACAGGGAGTGTGATGATTTGAATAAGAACGGGCCCCCAGAGGCTCACATAGTTGAGTGCTTAGCCATCAGGGAGTGATTCAAGAGAGAGGGATTCGGAGGTGTGTCTTTGTTGGAGTAAATGCGCCTCTGGGGGTTGGCTTTGGTGCTTTAAAAGCCCAAGCCAGGCCCCGTGTGTCTCTCTCTTCCTGCAGTGTACAGATCCAGATGTAGAACTCTCAGCAACTTCTCCAGCACCATGTGTGCCTCTATGCCACCATGCTTCCTCCCATGATGAGACTGGACTAGATCTCTGACACTGTAAGCCATCCACAATGAAATGTTTTTCTTTCATAAGAGTTGCCATGGTCATGGTATCTCTTTGCAGCAATGGAACTCTGAGTAAGACAGGGATGGAGGTCCATACAGAAGGAGAGAAAGAGGAGGGATGTTGTCTGAAAAAGACTGTAGGAATCATATTTTCTACTTACCCCAAATTACATATAAGTGTATGTATGTTTACATGTACATATATGGTTTATTTTTGCTTGTGAGCCTGTGCTTTAAAACTGAACCATCTCTTCAACCCTATATATAGTTTAAATAAAGTTAAACTACTTGAGCTGAAAATGCTTCCCCAAAGAGTCATAGAACATCTGAGAAAAACCAAAGTACCAGTTATGAGAAATCCCATTTCAAGTTGTTGGTCAGGGGAAGTCCAAGAGACTCCTAAAGCAATTATTGTTGCCCTTGGTTACACCCCAGAGGTTGAGGGTAAGCCCCTCTTGCTGAAGATACCATGCACTTCAGAGGCAGGACCCAGGGGATCCAAGCCGGATGTGAAAGCTTCCTCCTCCAGGACAGTCTTTCCTAGAACCAGATGATGCTATGCACGCTATCAAGAGAGGGAAGCAACAAATAGCTCTACCCAGTTGTGAAGCCTCTGAATCACAGCTGGCATGGCAAGACAGCCCCGAAGGTGAAATAGTGGCATTCATATCTTGTTAGTAGCCAGTGCTGTCTGACTGGACTTACCCTCTTCTCAGCAGAACGGAAATCATGCCCCATACTGAAAACCTAACCAACAACCCAGGCCGAGTGATACAATGGATCTTAAGGGAGAACCCTACCACCACTTTGCTAAAGCAGCACCGTTCCTGACTGCTATTCTAAATATTTATCTTTATACCCATAGAGAAGTGTGGCTCCCGAGCCCCACCACAAAGGCTTCTCTTTGCGACGGTCAGAGACTGCTAGAGAAAACCACATCATGCACTGCCTGGCCCTAGTGGATAGGACGACAACACAGCTCCTGTACCCAGAGCTCAGGGGACATTGAGGCAGAGGGGGCGGGAAGACTGCAAGAGCCCGAGGACCGGGAAGTCCACTGTGAGATCGTGTCTCCTAGAAAGCTCCACCCAGGCTGATGAAATAAAATGGCTGCCTGAAGAAGATGTGGATCTGGACAACACCCATAGACGCGCTAATAAGGAGGGGGGGGAGACTCGTGGGACTCCACCCCTCGAGAAAGAGCCCCAGGCAACTAAGGGGTGCTGAGAGTGCGAGAAGGGTCTTCCCTCATGGAAAGGCCCCCTCATTGATTATCTAACGCCAAGTGGTCGCCCTGAAATCGCATACACCCTGTGCTGAAGGACTCAGTAGGCTGCAGCTATGTATTTATATGCATACATTACATATATAAAACAAGGAATTTGGGAGGGAAAGGGGCATGAGAGGAGTTGGGGTAAGGAAAATGGAGGGAAATGATAGAATTCTATTTGAATAAAAACATTAATAAAAATTTGCTACTAGTTCCCCAAAGAGTACAAATGAAGTTAATTTAAATCATTTTATTTTATTTTATTTCAGCGAACCTAAAGTGTTATGTTAAACTTTAACATTTAATCAGCTCAAAACTTGTTGACATTTTAACCCCTCTTTTTCATTAAGTGTTTGAAATCCAATATGTTCTTTACATTTGAAGTAAATTTCTACTGGGACTAATTCCTCTTTCAGCTTATTCATATTGCTTGTTGCTCCCATGTTCTATTAGGTGGAGCACACTGTCACTGAGAGGCCAACACGAGGCGGGGATCTCAGAAGGAGAAAAGCCCCTTTGTTGAGCTGGCCAGGCCTGTGCATTGCGTTCTTATTGCTTCAAGATGCACTCGGCCTTTGGGACACTGACTCACGGCCTAGCTGCCACTATTTCCTCGGAGACTTAATTTTAGCCAGGTTTCCTGGAACGGTTCCAGCGTTCCTCTGTGCCTCATTTCTTCCCTTCCAAGCCCTCACATGTCACCGCCGTGTAATTCAAAGCTTTGTCAGGCTGGAATCCAATGGACCCAGCCCAAACAGGAAATGGGATTTCTCATTGTTTACTTGAGACCATGATCCAGAAAATGTTGGACACTTGTTTTCAGTGCCTCATTGAGCTCGAAATGAAATGCAGCCATCCCCAAAGGTTTCCTGATGTGGAATGATTTAAATGCTTCAACCGTTAGATCAAGATAGAGGGCCTGCTGAGAGACGGCTCCGCGGAGAGACGCTCTTGCCACCAGTCCTGAAGATCTGATCGGAGCCCACACGCTGGAAGGAGAAGACCGGCTACCCAAGAGTTGTCCTCTGACCCTCGCCTGCTCTGTGATGGTCTCCGTCTCTCCCCCGCCCCCAATCTCTTATTCACATAAATAAATGAACGCTATTTCTTAAATACAATGGTTTAGAGCATGGGTTGACTCTATGCTTTCCTTGTCTGAGTATTATCAAACCTCATCCTTTGCTGACATTTTGTTAGAAACAGGATATAGAACCTTTCTATGAGGCTGGAGTATCCCAATGTACTCTGGGAACATTCCAGCAAGTATTCCACAATTAATCTTTGTATAAACAGGTTTGTTGTAGGCCTCTGTCTCATATTTCCCTATAAACCCTGAAATAGACCATCTTGCCAATCGCCACATCGTCATGCCCAACATGGGCACATAGGTATCATATGATATATGGTGGGTGGTACTCTATGCCCTCTGACAGACATGTTGTCTGTTTGTTCAGTAATTTTTTTGTTTTGCTTTTTCTCAGTATGGTAGAGCTCACCCATTGTGTTGAATGATGACAGTACCATACCCAGGCTTTCCCAAACTCTTGTAGCCAGGAGTAGGCAAAAGATATTCTAAATACACAGAAGTGAGAGCATTTGGGGGGAGGCACAAACCTCATCCTTTTGTTAAGAATTCACTCGTGCGGAAACTCACCCACTCCAGGACATGGATTCATTTGTGAAGGCAGACTCTTCATGACTAATCTCTTAAAGACTCCACTTCTCCACCCTGTTGAGCTGGGGATTAACTTCCCAACACACACAGTTTGGATGAGACACTTAAGCCATAGAAGTGGGTAACATGCAAATGGATACCCGTAGCTTGTAAAGTTTTACAGTGTCTGGAGCCTCAAAGTGTCTCATCTTTTCTCTTTCAGATGAAAGGGACATTGTATGACAATGTAGAAAAATGTGATACAAGTAGATAGAGATTTTGTTGCCGCAGAGGGCATTTTGATGGGGGCCATCCTACAGTGGCTCCTTTAGCTTTCTGATTGGCATTCTTTCAAAGTCGTCCTTGAGTCTTGTTGAGGTGCCTTTCTATTCTCAACCTGTTTCTCAGATATGATAACCATGGCAACAGGAAGAGGGAGAGAAGTTCTTTCGGGAACAGAGGCAAGGCTGACAGGAACGTCTCCCTTTTCTGAGGAGTGGCTTTTTCAGAGGCCTGACTCTAGGGTTGGCGCTGATGGGGGTACCCTGGATCTATGGCTTTCAGGATAGTGCCCTCACAGGGTTAGTTAGGAGGCTTTCCCAAACATTTGTAGCAGCCACTCATTCTCGTACCCGAGGTGGGGAAACAAGTAGTTGAGAAGATGGGATGGACCTGCCAATCTGGAACTGAGCAGAGTTTGATCAGCTACCCATCTGATTTTGTTATTTGAGTTTTAGGGTCAAGACTCAGACTCTGGCGGGCTCATCAAGCTAAGCATGCCCACCTACCCCCAATACGCCCACCAAAGAGACCAGTAAGATGGAGATCTGTTTAAAGTGGCCACACACAGGGAAGAGGAAGGAAGAGGTCCAACGGCCTCCAACTCCACCTCAGGGCATTGGCATGAGGTTTAGTTTAACCAGAAGGTAGAAAGTACATACAACTCAGCAATCTGGGGCAAGGTGTGGCTCTACCCATTGTTGCCTGGGCATCAGCCTGTCCCACAAAGTGGTTCAATAAGTTACTAGAACTGGCGCGGGGCGCGGGGGGGGCGGGGGGTTTCTCTTCTGCCGGGCACCATGCTTTGCTTTTTCCCTTTCTCCAGCGTCATACTGGGGAGGGGAAATTTTAACCCTTTGGAGCCCATAGTTTGCTAGCCAAAGGGAGGCCACACATGTCTCTCTTTAGAATATTTTCTTTCCCTTGTCTAGCCAGTTATAACTCTGGCTCAGAAATAGAAGTGACACACAATTATGTATGTGAATGCTCGTATCTATATAACAACATTACTAAGTATAAAGACACATGAGAGTGAACTGAGCCGTGAATATAATTTATTCATATGTTTACACAGGAGTCTGTTACACAGACAATAGCAAAAAAGGTACAAAGGAGCCCTAAGAGTTTTCGTATAACTTTAGGATAATACTTAGTAACAAAAATACTTTAAAGACATTAATATTATATAAATAAAATAATAGAGAAGACTTTAAGCTTGTTCCCATTTGAAGGTTTGAGACAGCACGGGCTTAGGTGAGTTAGAACTCTGTTTCTGAGGTGGGCTCAGGGGCATAGGGGAAAGCGCTCCAGTCTGTTCTGCTAGGTTGCAACTTCTTCACTTCTGGGGGGTTCTTTGCTTACCCTTCTCTTCCTGCTGTTCTCAACCCATATTTCACAAATTCCAAATAGGAAAATTTCAGTTCAAACTCTGGAAATTCGGATTTTCCATAGGACATCTCAGGAACCAGTGACAGTTGTAGATTCATGGCTTCAAAGGCTTTGGTCACAGGATGTAAAAATGGTCCCAGTTCTCAGGATTTGTTATCCTGAGGAGAGGGAGGGTGATGGGCTCCCTAAGGCGTTTGTCCAGGCTTTCCTACCACCTGACTTCAGCCCTTCAGCAAACTGTATTGTCTTCTCAGCGCTTACTATGTTTTTGCTTTTGTTTTTCCAGAAAGGGTGTCTTTGTGTAGCTCTGGCTGTCCTGGAACTCACTCTGTAGACCAGGCTGGCCTCAAACTCACAGATTCGCCTGCCTCTAATTAAATGATTGCCCCACCACTGCCTGGATAACACTGACTATTGAAAGGGGGGAAAGTGTTTCTTCTTGTTGTTGTTGTTGTTTGTTTGTTGAGATAGGGCCATTCAGTGTAGCCCACACTGCCTTCAATGTGTGGTCCTTCTGCCTCAGCTGCCTGAGTGCTAGGATTTCAGGCATGAACAACATACTCAACAGGAAAAATAAATCTTTAGGATTTAAGTTTTTACTTTCCCAAACTTCAAACAATAAATTTCATTGGGCAGACGGCAGGCGGCAAGTGGAACTTTCTGCTGTCCTCTTTGGCGTGATTGGTCATAGAATTTTTACAGAAGCTACAACTTTTAAATTAAAAAAAAAATCTAAAGCGAAAACCTGGAGAATCCCCCTCCCTGTATTTCTTTCAGGTGGTTCCAATACCACTAGTTTCTCAAACAGAGCATAGTGTGCAGAAAAGAATGTCTTTTTTTTTTTTTTAAGAAATTAAAGAACTCTTGAAGACTATGTGTGACTTGACAGCCAGGGCCTAGATGTCCTCAGATTCATTAAAGATGTGACTATAAAAGGCTCTTGAGGTTAATGAAATTGCCATGTATCTGAAACACTTAAAAAACTAACACATAGTCCCAGTGTTCAGGGAATGGAAGCAGAGGGGTGCTGCCTTCTAGGCTAGCCTGGGCTACATAGCAAGACACCCCCCAACTAAAAACTAATATAACAATTAAAGTAAAAGCAACTATGCTAAGTATTCCATACATACATATTTTATTTAATTTCTAGGAACTGGCTAGCTACAAACATATCAGTGAAAAAAAGGTGTTTTTTTTTTCATAAGAAGAATAAATAAACTCTCCCTGAAGTTTTGAAATGCCAAGAGCAGCAATTCAAAACTATTTTGACCAACAAAGTCCTCTCCACAGCTCTGGCAGCTTGAAAAAAAAACCTAATCATCCTCATTTAGTAAATGTCACACTTTACTATAGTGCGGAAGCCACTGCCCTACCGGCAACCTACTCACTGCAATGTTGGTCATGGCTGCTGCGAGTCACTTGGCTTGATTCTGAAAGCAAACTGTTTACCTGAGGACTTTTTGGGTTCGCTTTGTTTCTGTGCCCGTGAATTCTGTAAGGCTTAGATGGCTACAGAACTTAACGCTTAATACTGACATCAAAGGTAGTTTAAATAATAATTATTCTGCTTCCATTTCTTCTTTCTCTTGGACCATGTCGACTTTATAAATACATTACAATCTTCATGCTACCCCACCCCTAGCACACAGATGGGTTTAAATTCCATTCCAGAGAACATCACCTGGACAGGGTTTTCATGTGCTTGACAATATACAGTCAAAAAGAAAAACACAAAGCAAACAAACGAATGGGTCACTGATAGTCTGAAAGTTGTTCCCTGTGGTGAAAAGCAGTTACTGAGAATCTGGAAGCCTTCTGGAGCTGCACTTGGAAATGATTAATGACCACAGCTATCATGTGGAGTTCCTTTTACAGAGGGCTTTCAACCACCCTTTTCTTGTTTTGTAGGTAGAAGATGCGGTTCTCTTCAGAGTAGGTGACTTTGCTGAGAGGTATCCTGTAGATGTCGGGGTTTTTCGTGGTCAGCAAGAGAAACGGTAGCGTGGCCAAACAGAAGGCCCAAGTACCAGCAGGCAAACGTACCTGGAGAAAAAGAGAGGCCACACTTCTTTTGAGATTCCATTTAAAGTGAGTTCACACAATGAACCCCCTGAACTTTCAACCTAGGGTACAAATCAGTGGGGGGGCCTTGCTCTGGAATCTGCTGTGCCCCCTTGTAAAATCTTAATCATGTCTAAGATGTCAGGGAATCTGGATCTAGCAGTCATTGAAATGTTTTCACTTGTCTTTCTGTGGTGATCAGTTTTCTCCTTTCTGTATGTCTCTCCGGTTTTCTTGTTTATCCATACTTCTTCAGCATGGTGTACCAGGGTGACACTGGGCACATAGGATGCCAGCAAACAGCGAATATCCTGACCACTCATTACATCCAAAAGGGCTTCTCTGATTAGTCAATCATAGTGGCCTTTCTGACCCTGACTTCGTTCCAGCACTGAACTCTTCTTGTTCTTCCTTTTTATTTTCTCTCCTAAACACACTTCCTAAATTTGGGGGGGGGGGAGGTGCCATGCTTCAACGCCACCACGTCAACTCACACATTTCTGAGTATTCTACATTGGTTAGCTGTCGTCTTTTGTATGAACCTCATAAGTGTGATGGGGAGTAGGGTACCAAAACCTACACTTTATCCTCAAATCAAGGGATGGGGCCTCAGGATCTGAAGTTCCCCTGCTCTCCCTAGCTAGTCCATTCATCCAGTTCTGATCCACAGACTGATGATGCCTATATATATATATATATATATATATATATATATATATATATATAAAAAAGTGTTTTATATATATATATATAACAGGTGTTATTTTATATATATATGTTTCTCTAGTCAGTTATTCATAACTGATCTTCTCAGAGTTCTTAATAAGTAAACGATATTCTAAAGTCAACTTCTCAGCACCAGAGTTAGACTCTGAACGTGATAATGGGGTATTGAGCTATTGATAAGGTTGCTGTTAAAGTTATCCTTTAAACCAAGCAATCTGACATCCGTGATAAGCCTGGCGATTGTAGTTTGGGCTAGAGTTTGCTGTGATGTTGGAGGGCGGGAGTGGCCGAGAGCCAGCACCTGCCAGAGCAATGGCAGCCACGCTCACGGCCCCTGTCACCAGATACTGCTCAGGTGGCATCAGTGGACTTCCACATCATTGACAAGTCATGCAGAGGACAAAATGGGATCAAAGAACTCACCACAGCCATCAGGTGTGTCATGCAGGCTCCGACGTAGGCGGTAAACAGGGCTGCGGAAAGAAGAAAGAACACTATTTGGTAGATGTAGTTTTCACCAGCATCCTAGACTGTTTACGTACACTTCTGGGTTCTACTAGCCAGCCCAGTTATAACCCCATTTATAAATGTGAATTTAGAGTCAGAAGCTATGAGTTCAGATCGTGGCCCATCCCTGCAGAACTCATTGGTCTCGTTTCTGTGCTCTGCCTCCTTGGCTGTACCACAGAAGCAACAGGACCAACTCTTTCACAGGGCTGGGTGAGCATGAAGAAAACAGTACACATTCGGCACACACCAAGTGCTCAACGAAAGTAGTCTTGCAGTGTGGTTTGCTCTTTTCACTGTCGCGGGGAAAGATTTTCTGTGGCAAATAAACTGTCATGTTGTTTTTCTACACACATGACCGAATTTAGACGAGACAGCCTTGGTTCTCTACAGTCTTACTGCACCCAGGATCCCCATATTAATGGTTTGAATTTTACAGCTACAAAAATTATGGAGTCTGAAAATAAGAAGGCAACAGCTTGGAACATGGCAAAAGCAGGACAGACTCCCGAGACTCTCTTCATGCAATGCCTTCTCAAGCACTAACGGTGGGCATACAACTTCATTAATAAGCATCTGATATTTTCATTTACTTTGAGCAAGAAAAGAGAAACAAACTCCTGCAAATGGCATGTTCTGATCACATGTGTAGCTTTTACATGTAAAGCAACAGGAGCAAAGGGCTCAACCAGCTAACCATCAATTTCTCTGTCTTGGCTGAGGAAGAGGCGAGGGGCCTGGGATGTCCTCAGGTTTCCCCAAACTGAAGAATGACTTTCCTATGTTGTTCACAAAGTCATTTAGGCCACTGTTAGACAGCCACCAATCAATCAATGGATCAGTGAATACCTATCACTCACGTGAGCTATCTTGGGAGCATGACAGAGATGATGAGAGATCTCTCTGATCATCATTTCCTTGTCCTTTTATTGATAATTTATCCCCAGCACCATGTTGCTTAAATAGTGCAATGAATCCTCTCATGTCTTAGTTTCTCACGCTAATGAGGCCTAATTCAGATACAGTTCTATTTTTGGATTCCGGCTTTTCCTTATATTTTCTGGATAATGAGTGAACTCAGATTTTTTTTTTGTTTTACCATTCAGAACTTAAAGTTCTGCTTTAGGGAGGCAGACAATGAAATCTCAAATGAAATTTCATATCCATTCAGAGCAACTGTGAACTCTTCCCTCTTGGCAGGGTAATAGGGTACCACTCTGAGAAGAAGGATGCTCATGACTTGGGTGGGGAGGATTCCCCTCTTTGCTTTCATCAATTTCATTCATTTTCAAGATCTAACTCGCTCGTTCGGCATCTATTCCTAGGTACTCTTCTAAGCACAAGCTACATCTGGCCTGCTCTCTTTAGCACCGTCTTTTCCTTTGAACACACCAGACATTATTGTCTCTTATCTCCTTCAAAGGCCCAACACTTCTAAGACATGCTTCTGACACTCTTGAGTCTTGTACTGTTATATGCTTTGGAATAATCTCTAAGTCCATGTTGTTCGTTTCTCTCCAGAGAAAGTCAGAGTAACAAACAACAGGCTGCCTGGCCGTGAAGACTTGCATGTAGTGCAGAGCTGGGACTGGCTGACACCAGGGAAACACATCTGTGATCACATTAGAAAAGCCCCCTAAAGCCCAAAGAGAGCCTGGATTTCATGGGCAAGGCCCCCTCTCAATGCACTGTCATGGGTGAGTGCTCCTATAGTAACCCAACTATTGATAAATGGTACAAAATAGGCTTATAACCTCTATAAAGGGCATAAAAACAAGGCCATTCCTTGGCCACCCAGCTCCTGATCTCCAGGCAAGGAAAGCAGCCCTGCCAGGTACCATTGCAGGTTCCTAAGTTCTCCCTGACAGAGACTTGTGGGATACAGAAAAGAACAGTTCTGTGATCAGTGTCTGCTGTTTATTTACCTTGGCAGATAAGGTGGGCCTTTTGTTTGTCAGTGACAGGGCAACGTGGGCAAGCTGAAACTTGCTGTGGCATTTTACACAAAAGGCTTGCCTTGCAAGAGGGGTTAGAGGTCTGTCCCAAGAGTTTATGTGTGGGTATTAGGAAGTCTGCTGGGGTGCAGTGGGGGTGGGGTTGATACTCTCCTACTGCCAGCCTCAGAAGGAACTGAGCTGGCTCTCTGGGAATGAGCTCCACATTTGTGGATACTGCAATTGCCATTCCCTTTGAACTATCAATTTCAATTGCAGAAACATGCTGCAGAAATATTAATATAATGCATATTTGGGTATTTATACCAAAAAGCTGAAATCACTTGAGCAATATCTTAAATGGCTCCAAACTAGAAGCTATGTAAAAACCCCCAGCAGGACAGTCTTGTCATAAAAGCCATGTAACTAGCCCCTGACATGACAATCTCATCATATCTAAAGCATCTGTATGACCCCAACCAACAGAGGCCCAACATTCTGGGAGGTAGAGCCATGATCTCCTGACTGCTCGTCTGTACTAAGAGAAAGGCCCTGGCTATTACTCCCCATTGAGAGCTGTCGCTCAAACAGCTGGGATCTCTTGGGAAACAAATTCTTAGAGCAAAGAAAGGGGACCTCTAAAGAGACCAAATGCTAAGAAAGACAGACACAATGGAGCAAACTCTTAGTCAAAGCCGGAAACAAAGAAGGCACTAGATGACAGGATGAAGCATGGCGGACAGAGCCGAAAACAGTTCAGTGGACTGACGAAACTGGAGGCTCTTGTGAAGGATGGGGAGGAAATAAAAGAAAAAGTTCATAGCAGTGGGAAAGCTCACATGGAATTAACCCCCGAGGAAAGGAATATTTGGAGAGACTTTTGAGAAACTGAAAGCAGACAAAATCCTAGAATTAAAGAAAGACAGGAGATCTCACACCACGCCGAAAGGATTTGAGTGTCTAATCACAGAGGGTATGAGGAACTCTCTCATCTAGACAGCTCCATCCTTTTCGCTCGCCTGCCAGAACCAAATCCACCTTTCATGTGGTCAAGGAAAATATGCGAAGATAAGGTTCCAAATGCCCAGAGAACAAAAATAAAATTACCTTTAACAAGAATAAGGGTTTTTTTTTTTTTTTTTCAGAAGTCTATATGGCAGTTTGGGATGTAGAAAGGCAACAAGATCATCTTTGAGGACAACTTTCAAAAGGTTTGTTAGGAGAGAAAACAAAATCCTCAAATCTGGTGTTGTTTTCAGACGGCTGCCCTAACATGTAAGACAGGGAGAAAGGAAGCAGTTCTCCCCTCAACAAAACCAGCTCTGGAGAAAACATTGGCAGGGCAGTGTGAGCTGCAGGGCAGGGGTGGATACACACCCAAAGGCCGTAGTTACTAAACAAGGAAGCATGAAAATGCTTGTTTATATGGATCTAAAGTGAAAATTCTATATAATATCAGCGTCAGCGTGGTTTCAGTGGCTGTTGGGGGCGGGCCTCCCAGTGGGGGCTGATGCAGGCCAAGGTATTGTTCATATCTGGAGATAAGATAAAAGTATGGATAAAGTTAAGACTTTGATAAGGACTAGCAAACAAGGTTAATTCTTAATAAGTTAATAAATTAATGCAAAGCCACCAGAAAAAAAGTTCTCCATACCTTTAAATAGAACAAACAATTACAGGATACTACTTATGTTTCATATGATTTATGCACACACTATTTAATCCTAGACAAATTCAATGGGGGCACCACAAACCCTCTTTTAAAGTGGGAAAACCTAGGCCCAACAGTGTTATGGACCCTGCTGTAATTAAGTTCCAGGTAGTCTGGCAACAAGGCCAGGGTTGGTTTTTGTTTTGGGTTTCTCTTTTTAAAAGTTTATTATTATTATTATTATTATTATTATTATTATTATTATTGCCAGGGTCTTACTGTGTAACTCCTAACTCACCTCACCTTCTAAAATTATATCAAAGGCAAAGTAAGTACGGCAGACAGAAAATACTCCCTAATGGGGTCCACATCCTGATGCCCAGAATCTGTGATTATGAAAAGGAATCTGCAGCCTTGGTTAAGTTAAAGATTGTGAGTGGGAAGATCATCCAGGATGGGGTCAGCAGACCATGGTCATCATGAGGAGCTGCGCAGAGGAGCTTACAAGGTTGCCTGAGGGAGAAGGATGGAGCAGCTTCCCTTTCTACTTTACACCTCTGTGTACTTTGTTCTGACTAAGCAATGAAACTGTTACAATACTATTACAATAAAAAATAATAATGAAAAGATTTCCCTTTGGGGGAAACATTTGCAAAAGTCTTAGGCTCCATCCTTCTCGCTAGCCTGTCAGAACCAAATCCACTTTTCACGTGGTCAGAAGGCTTTCTGCTTGGCTCAGGCTGTCCCCATGCCAACCAGCGCCATCTTCCCTACCGAACGGCCTCCACTCCTGGGCTAGGGCTCACAGAAAAGACACCATCTCCAGGCAGTACTCCCTGATAACTCTGACAGTAATTGCCCCACCCCAGATCCTATACTACAGATTTCTTCTTGTTCTGGTCCAAACCTTGAGAACCTCCCTCAGAACTCCCTGCCCCCCAAATCACCAGGTTCCCCTTCTAGTACAGCGCTCTCTGCTCAGGAATTACAGGGGACCCGAAGTTTCTAATTCAAAGTCTTCCCGGTATCCACCCAGGCTACAGTATGAATATCTAAACACATTAATGCATTTGTCGCTACTGCACACACAGAAACATAAAGTATGCACTCCCGATAAAGGTGTGAAAGCAATCTCGGAACAAAGCTGGGGCTGGAGGATGAGAGACTCTCTCCCAGTTAACCACAGAATCTGTCCCCTACTTTGCCTGCTTCACTTTGAACTTGAGAACAGAGGAAGAGCAGAGTAGCAAATACTGACAGAGCTCAACCAAGTGGTTACAAAGCAACAAAATAACACCTAGATCTGAACTCTGTTAGCTATGCCACTGTATAAACCCAAACTGAGCAGTGTCTACAAACCCTCCGTCTCCGCTCCCCTCCTCCACTCCAGATACTGCCTAGCACGAGGTCTACCATGACAATCAGTTAGATAGCTGAGGTTGAGCAGTCTGGAGATAAAATGACTTTAGACCTCTGTTACATCAGGTTAGAAAGAATTCCTCTACAACCCACGACCCCTCTACTTTTTCGTCTCCTAGGGTGTCATTCTTTCCACCCTAGAAATATCTTTCATGTTTTTACTTGTGCGGGACTAGAGATGACACAGGTTATGGGTGGATGTCTGCCCCTCATCAGCAGCTTGAGGGGACCCACCAGCATTCCAAGTCCAGAGTTCTTGAGGCCCACCTTACTTTATGGAGCTGACACACAGTCTGAAAGCTACAGCCAAGAAGCAGCCCAGGGTAGCAGAGCAGCTGTGGGGAAGACTGGTGGAAACAGCATCTAGGTTTGGATTTATTCCTCCTGGACTTAATGTGCTCCAGCACTTCCCTGACCCAAGGCCAATGAGGATGACTCTGAGGGAGCTGGGGCCTAGCCTAGCTCTGCAGGCAGGGTCTGCTGGGGATCATGAAGGCCTAACAAAGCGTTCTTAGCCTCCCTGTCAGAAGTACAGGTTTCTCCCTCTGGCCCCTAATTCTGTGTCAGAGGCCGATCTAGCAGTCTGTGTATTCACCAATATTTCAGGTGAGTTCGACACAGGCTCAAGTCTGAAAACAGTTGATTAAACCAGTCCTCAAAGGACTGCGTGAAACCCTACCTGGTTCACCAAATAACATAGCTTTAGTAGAACAAAGTATTTCTTTTTAGGTTTTGGGGGCATAACAACAAGTGTGCGTGCGTACTTTTTCGTTTGTCAGGGTCTTACTGTGTAGCTCCTACCTCACCTCACCTTCCGAAATTATATCAAAGGCAAAGTAAGTATACACACACACACACACAACCACAGTACAGGTCATGGATCTATTACCTCAAATATATCCCGACTAGATTGTCTTCTAGGATTTCACAGGCTCTTCCTTCACAATAACCAGTCTGACAGGTAAAGATGACTTTAACTCTCCCAGGGGAGGAGCATCACTTGCCCCCACTCACACAGTTAGCAGTAACCCAAACTCCAATCTCAGTCTCATATGATTCGTTAAATATATTCTTGTGTCATTGTGTACTGCTTGCCCATGGTTTGGATGGAGTCCTCAGGGGCACCCCCTACATATGTGCACCCACACCATATGTCGAATACTCACCACAGGCGAGAGCCAGGAGGTGGGTCTGCCAGGTGAGTGCCATGAACATGCCTCCAATTGCAATGCAGGCCAGAGAACTGTTGAAACCCCAGAGCCCAGCATAGATGTCTTCAAACGGAGCTGCGAGACTGAGTCCTGTAGGGAAAAACAAGAGTGGTCAGAGCTTGGGACAAAGAGCAGGATGCTATGCAGTGAGCTGTGGGGTCCTGGGAAATATCCTAAGGACTCCCCTTGCCCAGAGACCTTGGGGAAGCTCTGCAGTATAAAAGATGCCTGCGACAGGCACGGGATGGATAAGATGCTCATGTTAGGTTGCAAGTCTTATACTCACCTGCAATGACACCCAGCAGGGATCCGATAGCAGCATGCAGGCACATGAGTGGGGAGGAAAGGAGAATGGCACAGAGGAAAATGCCCCCCGTCCATGGGTTATCACAGCCGTATATCTGACCAACTCCCACTGGAAGGGACTTCAATAACTGCAATAGAAAGGACAGAATTGTAGCCACTCGAACAACGGATAAGAAGACCACAGCACACTTAATACACAACAACGTTACAGGTTGCAGTTTTTAGAATTAGCATGTTTTATCCTTCAAGATCAGTGCCAATATTTTACTAATACAGAAAAAAACCCTCTTGTCTCATCTTTTCTTTAGCTCTGTCTCTGGAGAGGTACACCGGTCCTGCTCGGGTGCCCGCCGAGGAGCACAGCTCTTCCAAGCCTCTTGTACTCGTTAACTTTCCCACTATCGTGAGGCTTCCAGTGTGGTCTCATGACCCCTGGCTCTGACAACCTGCTGTACCTTCCTTAGTGTGGCAGCGAATCCATGCTGTTCCACAGTCTGTAGAAATCCTTACAATGGAGTTGGCTGCCCAGATTAAGAGGCCGGAGAACGGAATAAGGTTAGCTCATTCGTAATTTAGAAGTAACTGCAGCCAGCTTGCTGAGCCGGGACCACACTGGCCCGGCTGATCCCGAATGGAACGTGCTCCATTTAATAAAAACACCTTTGGCTTATTTTAGTCACTAACATCTGTCTATCAGATCCCAAGGCACAAAAGCACGGACCTTCCAATTCTGTTTTCCGGCAGAAGCCTGAATCTACCTGAAATGTTTACAGAGCGACAGTTCTCAGGAAGGCAAAGGATTTGGCTCAAACAAATGATGTTTCCATATAATAAAACTTTTGGTTGGGCCAGGAAAATATAACAACACACAGCTTCTCCCTTTGAGCAAAAACATTTCCTGAAATATAATGGCCTCTCTACCTTCTCTCGGATCCGTTTGTAAGAATCTAGAAGCAATGACTCTCACTGGCAGAGGAAGCCCCAGCTTGGGCTTCCAAACACTGGCTTGGCCCTTGTTCAGTGCACTGGACCACACTGAGACTTGGTCTACCTCAACGTGGTCACTAAATGCTTTCTGCACCCAGTCTTATCTATAGATAGTCATCTCCCATCTCTTCTAGACCTGGGAACTTTGCACAGGTAGAGACTGAATAGGCTTTTTATCTCTGAACTTGGTATCCACGTATCTCTTGGGTAGACAGGGGTGGGAAGGTTTAGTGAGCTATCACATAAACAAGCTCAGAATATGGGGAGGTCAACTGACCTTCAGAACCGTCCTGTTGATAGTCCCTATCTGAGCTTTCCAGGGCAGCAGGCACTAGCCACGCAGTTACTGAGAATCTGAATTGTGACAGGTGAAGCTGAGAAACTGAGTTGTGAATGCATCTAGGTCTCACTTTAAACGGGGCTAGTGATTGTCTTCTGAGACAGTGTAGTCCCAGAGAGTGATACAGTTTGGCAGTCTTATTTTTAAACAGCAGGTGCTTTACATTTGGGGCTAGTTCCAAGCGCTGCCATTTGCTTACTGGGTCAAAGATAAAGCAAACGCTATGTAAACGCCTCCCGTGTTCTCCTCTCTCAGCAGAGAGGATGGCGAAAGGGCACATCTAATCTGACAGCTGGAGAGCGACTCTGCACTTTAAACTAAGACCCAAACCAGCAATACCTCTTTTATTTTCTTTGACTTCAATATCTTTTTAGTTTCAGAAATTAAGAAACATTAAGAAAGGTTCTAAGACGCAGCTCAGTAGCAGAGTATCTGGCATGTATGAAGCTCTATTGCAATCTGTACACACACACACACACACACACACACACACTCACGCACACACACACACACACAGGAACGCATGCACTCACACATGCACACACATACACATGAAACCTTCTGCAGACTTCTTATAGAAACACATATGGAAAGAGCCGGAATTTGATTTGTGAGAAGCACTTTTTTTTTTTTAAAACAAAACAAAACAAAACACAGCTCTCTGTGCCTGTCTGTAAGGAGGTGAACCATATCCACACTCTGTGACTCAGCGGATCTCAAGTTGTGTCCACCAGCACTATTTGGAGGAGCTTGTTGATACAGATTCCACGCCCCACTCTACCTTGAGAGCCCTTCGCATTCTGTAAGAAGACAGAACAGCCATACAGAACAGCCAGGTACTGCAGAGCCCAAAAAGTCGAACAGTTCCAAATAGGGTAAGCTGCTCACGAATGTTCTAACCCAATGAGAGATCACCTGCCTTGTCTCAGCCACGCAGATAAGGGCTAAACTCCACACAGCATCTGATTTCCAAAGAACTGTCCTCAGATTTTTAGGGAAAAAAAGTTGATATTTTACCTCAAGGGCATTCAGCTCAGTCCATGTGATATTGGTCACGGAGGTGACGGGTGTGATGAGTTTGCTCGGAAAGAATGCATTGTAATGTCCCGTGGCCGAAAGGTACATAGACAGCGCCATGTTGAAAGGGAGCGTGAAGACAGGGAGGTCCCATTTGCTGAACACGGAGTTCAGTGCACTTGAGAAGAGTGGGCTAAAGGAAGGTCACAGAGGAATGGGAATCAGTGCGAGCAGTCAGGATGAGCCCCCAGCCTCTCCGCGAGGCGGCCTCTCCGCTAGGTGGCCTGTTGCAGTTGCTAACAAACTTTGAAATAGTACGCTGATAAACCTTCCACAGGGCATATGAGGCTGGGGGCGGGCAGTGACTTGGGATGAGACTCATTGCAGAGACAACAACTTATCTAACACAACCACAAAATGAACTCTTGGCTGACTTTTTTGGGGAAAAAAAATACCCCAAAGGTGGCTCAGAGTAAGTTATAATCAAGGTTTTAAAAACAAGTTTGGAGCTTGTAATAAAGAGAAATCTTATTTGCATAGTTAGTGCCCTGTGATCCTGGGGTCCATCCTTCACCCCAGGGTTGCCACTGTCCTGAATCTGGAAGATAGCACTCTGTCTGTCTTCTCTATAGGTTTCTATTTTGGAGAAAAGAAATGGCTAGGGTTTGGGGCGCTGAGGCTGGGGACTAAAGGGTTCTGTAGGAGTGGTCAGAGTGTCTGTCCTTGAGCTGCTATTGATCACCTTGAGACTTTCACTTCACACACACAGTCTTTTCCTCATTCCATGGTGTGCAAGCTTGGACTTGTTTTGGATGGTGGAGATCAGTGGTTCTCAACCTGTGGGTCATGCATAACCCCTCCAGGGGTTGAACAGCCTTTTTACAGGGGTCAAATATCAGATATTTGCAAACCAGATGTTTACATTATGATTCATAGCTGTAGCCAAATTACACATATGAAGTATCAATAAGATAATTTTATGGCTGGGACACAGAAGCCAGTTTTTAAAGATCCAGGTTTTGTAAAGATGGGGTTGAATTTAGAAAACAAAAGAGGAGGTGGGCAGCTTGGTTAAGCTGATGGGGTGGGCACCTTCGGCTCTACTTTAGAATCCCCTGGGGGATGTAAAAACCTCAGCATCTAGGCAACAGCACAGAGCAGGTGTATGCGCTAAGTGCGTAGTTATGGTTGAGAATGTCTGGATGAAGGGGCTGTGCAGCTGACAATAACTGGCTGTGAGAAAATCCACACCTTTTAAGATGATTGCTTTAGTTTCCATGACCAAAGGTATAATCTGTTTCTAATTTTTAAGTATTTTTTAAATTTGTGGCATTACCATTTATTATTACGTTGTTTTGCTTTTTTTTTTTTTCCTTAGATAGCCTCTCTAGACAGATTAGCCTGGAACTCACTATTAGCCCAGGCTGACCTTACACTCAGCAGTCGGCTTCACTTAGCCTCCCAAATGCAGATATTACAGGCGTGTGCCACGGTGCCTGGCACCACTTAACGATTTTCCTTTTATTTTACATTTAACCTGTGTTTGTGTGGGTAAGTGTGCATGTGTGGGCGTGCATAGAGAGGCTTGTGTGGAGGTTAAAGGAACACTGGGAAGTCAGCTCCCTCCTACCATGTGGGTTCCTGGGATTAACCTCAGGTTGTTATCCTTGGCGACAAGTGTCTTTTTCTGATAAACCAACTTGGCGGCCCTATTTCACTACTTAAGGTGTAAAGGTCAATGATACATTGACGGTGGTGCACAGCTACTAGCATTGACTCACAGGGTAATTATCACCTTACAAACATGTGCTCCTTAACCACCAACCCTTCACTCCTTCTACCCGCCACTGGCATTCTGAAGACCAAGCACAACTTACCAAGTCATAGACATTACAGATATAGGGAATATCAGCCACCAGAAATAGTCGCCCTTGTCCGAGAAGACAGCCATGAGGATTCCCACAAGGGTGGCGTTGTAGCCGTGGAGCCCGGCTGCTATCGCTGACCTGCAGGCATGGGGGAACAGCACAGACATTGCCTGAGTGGACATAGTCAGGGTCAGACATAGACAACAGGCATAACTTCTAGAGATCACATCCACTTTAGAAAACACAGTCATACCCAGGCATGTGTTCCAAAACCTTTTATGAATCATGCAAACACAACTAAATTGTATAGGGAAATCTACACAGATAAAACTCTGAAATGTGTACCTGGGACAAGGCCCCCCAGGGTACGCCACAAGACACAGTAAGGATGGCATCTGGTGGAGGAGAGGGGCCCTGGGTAGGGCAATTCGCTCTTGGCTCAGTCTTTCCCGAGGAAAGTCTTATTTATTTTAAATCACTGGGGACCTTGACTTGAATACGTCTTTCAAACAGTCTTAAGTCTGATTTCTCAGTGAGAAACACGTGATTCCTGGAAGGCGAGTTCTTCCATAGAAACATCCAATGTCAACTTAGTGGACATTTTCGTCTTCTTGGGATTCTATTTTGCGGACTTTAAGTGTACATCTCCAGGTTATTGCAGATAAAAATGATGATTTTTACTTGTCCAGGCACCTATTTAATTATGTGCACACTTAGCCCCTCTTGTTGAGACCTCCCTGTGATGGTAAGATACTCAGTCTGTCTCCTCAGTTCCTCTAGAGAACCCTGACGAATATGCCTGCTTTGTGCTTACTATTTAACATCACTTTCTTTTTTTTCTTTTGGTTTTGTAAGACAGTGTTTTTCTGTAGCTTTGGAACCTGTCCTGGAACTTGCTCTTGTAGACCAGGCTGGCCTCGAACTCACAGAGATCTGCCAGCCTCTGCCTCCCAAGTGCTTCAAGTGTTGGGATTAAAGGTGCGCGCCACCACCGCCTGGCCTTAACGTCACTTTCAAAGGCTGTTTTATAGGTCAGCCTCCACTCTGGCTGTAACGGAATCTATGGCACAATCAGGAACCAGAAGCCACAAGTAAGCAATGGGAATATTTCTGTATAATAAGACCCTAGTCTGGCAAGCTCCCTCCTTTTGGATTCTGAAAATTGGAGATGAAGGCATCATAAAGGACAATAAGGTCCATTTCCAGCCTGACACTCAGAGATAATGACTGTGGGGACCTAGGGGGTAAAGGTTGTGAAGTTCGGTCAGATGCAGGGCCTGTGGGGAGGAGCCACCCTGCAGTGGGTGTGAGAGTTCCCCGCTTTGATCTGACTGTGCACAAAGGTGCCAGTGCAACCAATAGGCTGGCGTCATATCTGCTCAGCACTGCGAGGACACCAGCGGTCGGCCTCTAGTTTCAAAGTCCTTTGTCTCTTTTCAGTAATCCTCCTGAAATTGGAGTTGTCCCTGAGCACAGTGGAGAACCCTTCAGACTGAACCTCCCTCAGCGTTGTCACTGGACAATGAATGGCAATATTTACAAGTCAGGAGAGGCCACAGTGCCAGCCACTGGACGAGTCAGTTACTTAAATGGAATTGTCGTTTTGACTCGGGATGAAATGCAGGGCTTTGTACATGCTTGGCAAGTGCTCTACCACCGAACTGCACAGCTAGCCCAGAATCGTGTTCCGTACATGCTCGGCAAGTGCTCTACCACCGAACTGCACAGCTAGCCCAGAATCGTGTTTCATTGCAGCAAAAACAATGAGGGATTACACCTGGGATAGAGCTTTGCATACGCCTGGGAACTGAACTGGCTTGCATTGCCCAGGAAAGGAGATAACTATGTTACACTAGTGAGGGATGCGAGATATAAAGGGGGTTGCTAAAGCCTCTTCTTTTCAGGAGCTCAGAAGCAGTTTGCTTCAAGTTGTAATAAATAATTGTATCACTAAAGGAGACTTCAGCAAGCTCTTTCCTGGTGTTAGATGAGTCCTGGCTTCCAGACACAGCCAGTAAGACTCCGACTGGTCCCTTATTCAGACGAGAAGGATAGAAGACTATCTGTGATCCTCTGGCCTCTGACGAAAGGCAAACAGAGTTCTGTGGAATAATTTTTTTTCCTTTTACCTGGAAAGGTGTGGCTTTATTATGACTGCCCATGGTAGCTGCCCAGCTAGTGGCTCAGAAAGATAAGGGAGCTAGCATATGCAGGCTTGCCTACCTGTCTTGGCTCAGCAAGAGGGCTGTCAGAGTGGAGACCACAGTTCCTACACAGCCACAGAGAGCCCACCAGGGGTTCTGGACCAGAAGTCCCACCAGAATCAGGATTCCACTGATGGGGTTGCTGACGAACACCACCTGGGATATGCCACGGAGAATCCAATCCATGAACTGGAGCACCACGGGCTTATCTGGAGAGACAAGGTGAGTAGAGGTAAGGAAGAAACAAGGTCACCCTGAACAAAGCCACCAGAACCTGCCGGAGCTGAAACCTTTGGGTATTTTTTGAAGCCTCCTTTTGACCCCTTGGCTTGTTTATAGTCTGTCCACCCGGCCCTACTGGAACTCAGGCTTCAGAAAGCAGCTAAGGCTCCCGTTTGCCGTGCCCAGAGGTACAAACTAAAGCCAAAGCAATGAATTATCAGTAGGGAAATTTCTTTGTTAAGTACTGAGATTGTAGGATGCATACTCCCCACTATACACACACACACACACACACACACACACACACACACACACACACACAAAGGTGTGAAAAGGTTAGCAAGTTAGAAGATGCAAAACAGGAAACTGTTTCCAGTGACGGCTTGAGAGCAGAGCTAAGACAGGGGCAGAAGCACAAGCAAAGGGTTTCCTCGAAGCTGCTTCTCCCATTTCTCACCAAACGAATGTGTAGATACCTTTAAGCCAGTTGGCAAATTCTTTCATATCACCAGTGACATAGCCAAACACTCTGAAGCCACAGCGTCTCCCCCGACATGATGAAACCTGGTTTTCACCCCGGTCTACTTTAACCATGGTGGGACTGTCTTCCAAGGCCATCTCTTCCTCTGGGTCCTTGAAGGAAGGAAGGAAGGAGAGAGCTTGTAAACATCCTGAATGAGAACCCTGTGGGTTGGCTAACTCAGGCTGTACAGTTGTTTGGAAGATGAGTCTGGGGGCGTTCGCCTAGACTGAGGCAGTGCTGTGGGCCTGAGAACTCGCTCTTTCCCCCTGGAGGATCATTGAGGAACTCATTATCCAAATCAAACATCAACCTTTGTCCTTGGTGTCTTTAATGCTACCATGAGAAGATTCTTTTCTGTACCCTCAGAAGGCTCGGGTTCTTAGCTTAACAAGTATTTGTTGAGCCCCCATTTCCTGCACTCAGGGGACTTAGCCGTATTGAGAAAAAAGAAAAACAGATAATGTCAACACAACAAGTTAAATAGTATAGAAAGAGCTAAAATAAGTAACTTTTTTTTTAAAAAAAGATTATTTATTAAGCATACAATGTATTGCTGGGGAGGAAGGCATCAGGTTTCATTACATCACAGATGGTTGTGAGCCACCATGTGGTTGCTGGGAATTGAACTCGGGACCTCAGGAAGAGCAGCCAGTGCTCTTACCCTCCGAGCTATCTCTCCAGCCCAAAATAAGTAACTTTAAAATTTGCATTTTTGTTTTTTACAAAATAGTAATTAGAAATCTGAGTGATAGCACACACCTGTCCCAGCACTTGAGAGCTAGAGGCAGGAGAATTGGGAGTTCAAAGCCAACCTCAGCAACATAATGGTTCAAGCACAGACTGGGTTGCATGAGATTCTATCCCAGAAAAACACCAATGTATGAATCATCCAAACTACTGATTTTATTTACGAATTCTTTGAAAAAGGAAAAAAAAACAGTTTGTGTGTGTTGATACAACCTAAGGATCTCCTTCTCCAGTCTCTGAGAATAGGATTGGTTGAATGTGTTCTTATGTTAGGCGGTTGCCTCAGATAATCTGTAATTTGGACTCAGTCATATAAATGCATAAAAGTAAGAAAGATACACCATAAAGAACAGTAGTTCTCAACCTGTAGGTCGAGGCCCCTTTGAGGGTTGAGTGACCCTTTCACAGGTTGCCTAGGACTGTCAGAAGACACAGGTATTTACATTATGATTCATAGCAGTAGCAAAATTACGGTTATAAAGTAACAATGAAAACAACTTTGTGGTTGGGGGTCACCAGAACACAAGGACCTGTATTAAAGGGTTGCAGCATTAGGAGGGTTGAGAACTGCTGATCTAGAAACTTAGAGAGGTAGAAATGGACAAGGCTATCAAAAGCCAAAGATTGTGCTGAAATGGTTGCATGCTATAAGAATGCACGAAGTTTTATTATAGTCAGAATGTCTTACCAGAACCCAAACACTAGAGGCAGAATGTGTGTTGACTGTAGGGTTACCTAGTTCTCACAGCAAGGGTATAATAAGAGAGAGCCAACATCCTTGGGGTTGGTGCCCTGCAGACACAACATGAAGAATTCATGGTGCCAACCACAGATGCGAGGACTACCAACGATACACTGGTAGAGGTGGACACGGGGAGGACAACAGCCAGGTCACCCCGGTTGTATGAAGAAAGCACAGTGCACAGACAGGTAAGTAGGAAGTTGGCAGCCCCATCGTCAACCTTACAGGCCTTCAGTGGAGAATGTGTGGAAACCACAGCCGCAAAAGACAAGACCAAGGGAGTGCCCAGAGCTGCACCTATACTCCAGCCCACCTCTCCTCACGGCATGGACAAAGTTCCTCCAGCTCTTTCTGGTCCCTTCTATTTGCCACACTCATCAGCTAGTCATTGATAGCCAATAAAATGATGTCTTTTTTACAATTCTGGACTCTAGTTTTGACTTACATTAATCCCAGTACAGAATCAATGTTTCATTATTGACTTATTACTGCATAACAATTTTACTTCTCACTCTGGCTCTCTCTGGCCTTGGACTTGCTATGATCCTCCTGCCTCTGCAACTCAAGTACTGAGATGATAGGTATGTTCCACCACGCCTGGCTGTCTTCCTGTTTCTTAAACAATGGTGCACCATTGATCATCACACAAAGTTGGAGCCATTTCTACAATGCATTCCAGACCAAGGTCATTGTGCCTGGGCAACACTCAAGCTGACACCAACATTTGCGAGTCTTTCAGAGAATCTTTGTATTGAGATTTTCTTTTTTTCTTTTTCTTTTTTGCCCTGAAAAGTGTGGGAGTCATGGAACCTAAACCACACCCACATAACTCTGCTCTATGCCTAAAATTTACAAATTCATTTAAGTATCCAGCACTTATGAGAAAGGGTCTTCTATTTCATAACCTAAGCAGTGACTATCACTTATTTTAGACCTCTCCCTCCCTAAATCTCATAACTGAAAATATTGTGGGGTTAGACCCTTAGCAACAGCAACCCACTTTCAAAGTCACCCCCGGTTACAGGAGGCATCAGGCTTCAGTGTCGGCCATGACACGAAGAAGCTCAAAGGACAATTGTCCTGAGTTGCTGGAATTGAGCGTGCCAAGGCCTGAAATCGGCAGTTTCCACCCACCACAGAAATCAATTCCAGAAAACACAAGTGCCTGCTCTCAAAATGTCCAGCCTGTATTTATTTAAGAGAGTTTCAAATGCCACATCACCCTAGAGATTCGAAACCTGATAGTGTAACTGGCCAGACACGACTGGGAACCTGACTGGCCTGTGTCCCCTGCAGAACCACCCCAAGTGAAGACTAACCTATTTTCCTTCAAATCCACAGCCCAACCTAGAGCTGTGTCTTCAATACTTAATCGCTGGGGTGCACTGGAGGGCTGTAACTTGGTTCCCCACTGTCCCACACCACAGAGTAGGGCCCGTCCTAACTGTACAGGGTGGTTACCCCCCAGAAGCCCTGGAGCCAGTTATTCTAAACGGCTGATCTTCCTGCAGCGCCTGAGATCCCTGACACCTGTTCCAGATTGCCAGCGGGAGGGCCGGTTAGGAGAAATCAGTAGTTTAAATCTTGCTCACTCTAGAATGTTCTCATCCTACAAAATCTGTGTCTCTTTTGGGAACTTGGATACTGTGCCCAGGAGAGAAACGTTCTAGATGATGCTCACACATTGAATTTCCGTGGAGAGGAGAGGGCAATGAGGGGATCTTAAGCTAACACAAGCAGGAGAATCCTAACCTCTAGGCTGTGCTTTCCTGTGTTTTCCAAGGCCCTTTAAATGCCCTGGCTCAGGGGCAGAGCCTCTACCTGTCGGGGTAGCTAGGTCACGGCACTATGCCCAGCAGACCTTGCTGACTACCCACGCCCAGCCTGAGCTCATAAGAGACACCAAGCTGGAAACAGGCTCTAAGGTTCCCCAAGGGCCAAACTGCTGGAAGGGAGCCTACCTGTTCTTTCCACCTGAGTGCCAGAGCCAAGCTTAGTCGTCTGAAGCCTCCTGGTGTTGCCTCACGGGCTTTATTTCCAAAAGGGTCTATCCAAAGAGGACCGTGATGGACGTCATCAGTACCACCAAGCAAAGACTGTTCACTCATCCTTCCTTTTTTCCATATATGACAAAGGGCAAAGAGATGTCAATCAGCAGGAGATGTCCTGGCTCTGGGGAGCACAGGAAAAGCCAGACCAGGGGAGACAGACAGGCTCGTGGGAGTTTCTGATAAGGGAAAATATTCCCTGCCCTGGTGTCCTAGAGCAAAGGTCCCCACTTGTCAAGGAGCTTACAATGGGAGGGAGGAAAGAGGACACTGACTGTGTTCATTGCATTCACCCAGAAGTCCTAGAATGTTCTATGTGTGGCATTTGTCTCTTCCTCTATCAATCACTTTATTTTCAGATTCTTCTACTGACTTGGTCTGAAACCTGGAAACTTTACCAAAGCAACCTGAAGAATTTGCAGCTGTGGAAAATATTTCTGACCTATCTTAGGGGAAAAAAGGATGTGTGTGTGTGTGTGTGTGTGTGTGTGTGTGTGTGTGTGTGTGTGTGAGAGAGAGAGAGAGAGAGAGAGAGAGAGAGAGAGCGAGAGAGCGAGCGAGCTCATGGTAAGTTATCTGGCTAGTTCTGGTATTCCTGGCATTTGCAATATGAGCAATTTTGGTTGGTATGAAACAACACCAAGCAGTCCCAATGGCAGGAATCTTATACTTTGCTAAGGAGTGGGAGACAAGAAAGGAAGAATAAAAAACAAAATGATCGAAAGCAAAGAAAAGGAAAACACGAGGAAAGGGTCACGATTCCTCAGGATGAGCGCCCTACTGCCTCCTCTGCTCTCTGTCTGCCTTCCTCAGCACACACAGCCCACAGAACTATCGCCACAAGGTCAGCATCAACGTTTTCTTATGGACAGAACTGGACAAATACATGAATATTTGAGATCTCATGGTTTAGAGAGCGCATGGTTTCATGTTATAAAAATAAGACTCAGTGGTACCTCTCAAGTCTACCCAGTCCACAGCTGGCAGAATCAGCTTATGCAGGCATTAAGTCCTGTGCTTCTGTCTTCCGGTTTGGGGCCAGGCAAGTTAGTGTCACCCCGGGTTGTATTTAAGTCACAAATGGCAGTAGCAGCTTCTGCAAGGTAGGATCTGAAGTGGGTGTCAGTCCACTGCAGTCTGGGCTACCGGGTCAAACAATGACAAAGAAAGGGCTCCGTGCCCTCTCTGAGGTCAGTTACTGTCTGTTAAAAACAATACCAGTGGTTCCTCAAAGTCAGCCTCTCTCGTGCATTACTGACAAGGCTATCAATGAGCCTTCAGGAATATTCTGGAAGCTGTGTGTGGTGAACCTGCTGGTGGGAGTTGGAACGCATGTTTGAGAGGCCAAATCACCAGTGGAGTGAGGCAGTGCTCAGTATTTGCCCTGAGACAATGCGAAGGCCTCACGTCTACTGTCTTCCCTACTCTCTCACACACAGTGAACCCCATTGTTCTGAGGCAAGGATTAGTAATGGGCTCAGTTGGAGAGGCCTGAAAGCCCTCAATTTGCCATGCTTTGAGTATTGCTTCAAATAATACCAAGTGTTAGATCTGGGTTTCTTGAAACGTTTTTGTGTTCTGTCATAATAAAAAAAGACTCTCTGCGCGGACATTTATTTGCTACTTTGTCTAATCTTTATTTTAGGTCATTTTTGATCACAATGGCAGGAACTGCTCAGTTCTCCTCAGAGCTGTAATCAGAAACAAAGAAACCCTGTCAGGTATTTCTGCCTCCTGATTAAAACACTTCCCTCCACAGCAGACACCGCTCCTCAGAGCCTTGAACTGTGCAGGCATGGGGCACTGCAGGAAGCCACCAACTCTCTGGCTACGCTTCTGACTGATCGGAGTGCCCGATGGGCACACAAGCACACTCCCTTCGGCAGGACAGCACACGCACTGGAGCCCCAAGCCCCAAACTGGGAAGGGCTGTTCCCTGTACCCCACATCTTCTTGTGAGTCATAAAAATGCTGTCGCCAGTTTTGCTTCATGTTTTTCAAGAGTGCAGCCTGAAGAAACTTCTCATTGTGTCGATTAGGCCAGCTCGTCCACATCAGCCCAGTGCAGCTCCCGCTCTCCCCAGGAATCATAGCAGAAGCATTGCTTTTTAAGCTTCTGGGAAGAGGACTGTGGCTTTGTTGAATAGCCTTCTAGTCTACCAGAACTCCAACTATTCAGTTCCAATAATTAGAGACACAGTTCATCATTTAAAGGAGAGCAGAGTTGGCAATGGGAAGGCAAGAGGGTAAGAGAAGGCCAGAGAGGGCTGAAAGGAAAGCAAACACGATCAAGATACAGTCTGTGCATGTATATAAATGTTGCAGTGAAGTTCATTAACTTGTATCGTTAAAATATCTAATATAATAAATAATAATACAAAGTATAGTCTCTGGAGTTAGACACATCTATGCTCAAACCTGTGTTCTGTCTTTAAAAAGGAAAAGGGACAAGATTAAGGGGACAAAGACAAGCTCCAACGAGAATAACTGGAATCAACAGAGACGAGGGGGGTACTTACCCTGCGGCTGGCTCCCAGTGGCAGAAGGCAACGCCTGATAAAGAGTGGCCAGGCTCTCTCAGAAGGAAGAGGTGGTGCAGGAGAGGCACCTCACCCTTTTATACCCACAGTCTGCTCTTCAGGTCTGTGAACTGGCTTTCTCCTCCCATTTCATCAATGCCAGACAACACAGGGGGGTAGGGTGGGGCCTGACTGGCCTCAGTGTCTCAAGTGCCCTTGCTTTCTCTTCTTTTGACATGGTGCCAATGGTTCTGTGATGTCTCCACGGCATCCAGGGGTCTTTACTCAGTGATAAGCAAACTCAAATTCACTTTTCCTCTTCTATGCCATTTCCTACCCCCACCTTGAAATGTTTATTTTGGAAAGATTTGTAACCAAAAAGGATCCACAGAGTGCCATTTAAACAACAAATGACTTCTCTTGCAATGGGAATATGTTGGAGTTGACGCTTCTGCTCTGGTATGAGGACAAGGCTCAGGGCGGTGGGAGAGGGAGCAGAGACAAGGGGGACACAAGTTATTGCTATCTGTTGCCTGTGCAGGAAAACAAACAAACAAACAAACCCACAAATGCTTCCCTGGTTGTTCCTCTTTCAGGTAATAAGCCCAGGATGCACAGCCTTTAAAATGTTAGCAGACGGAGGTGCAGAGCAGAAACTAACACTGAAATGAAAAGTCCCTTTCTTCCCCATTCTTCTTCGACCTCAGTTTTGTGGCTTGTTCCACTATGGCAGAAATAAAGTAAAGTCGTGGGCACTATGTGAACAAAGAATTAGGAAAAAACAAAAAAGAAAAGAAGCCCTTCCCGCTCCTAGAGGGTCTCCTCTGCGCGCGCTGATGTGCAGTCTCCTTATCGGCCCTCCGCCAGGCAGCCCAGGACTCTCGGGCTCCACCCGCTGGACCGCTGGACGTGAGCCAGACCACTGGGCTCCTTCTCTGCAGGGGGGCCCCTCCAGTGCCTGGGGCTGATCCCAGGGGAGAGCGGGTGGGCTCAAGTTCACTATGAGCACTTTGAGATTCAGGCAAATCTCTCTTTACACCTTTTTTCCTGGTAAAACCTTGTCCCCCTGCTGCTCATGTGAGGCCAGCTTTGGGAATGAAAGGAATCGTTCTATTTTTTTTTCTTTTCTGGTGTTCGTTAAGATGATTAATGAACCACAATAAACGAAGCACAATTTCCCATAATAATGATGATAAACCATAGTGATAAAAAATGATAAGAATGACCTAAAAGGGGTTGAGTGTTTCCTCTGGGTGCCAGCATTGTTAAACACCTGGCAGGCATGAGCCATTTAATCACCTCAAATTCCATATGGAATGCTGGGTGGTAGCTCACTGGTAGAGAACTTGGCTTGCCTTCCAACCCTCAGGCGTTAGGTTCTTGTACTTCAAAAATCATCCCCCCACCCAAAAAAAACCCAACCCAAACAACCTAAAGACCCAACAAAACAACAGAACACTAAGCAAAGCCCTATAGGGTGTCTTTATTCCTATTTTGCAAGTTAGGAAACCAAGACTTAGAGGGCCGAAGTAACTTGTGTGAAGTCTGGACGGTGGGCAACTCTAGCGCTGTCCACTACTGCCAACTTCTGTCTGTTAGGTTTGCTTAATTCACTCATGAATTCAGTTGTCACGATTGTCATGTAGTACAGACTGGAGCGGCAGCCTCCAGCACCGAGGCAGCCTTCTTTCTCCTGCTGCTATACGCTGGGTGAGTGGAATGAGCCAGTCTCAGGTCTTTTGGACAGAGCCACTTTCTCTGGCCAGCACTCTTCCTCCCTGGCCTCTGCTCCAGTCCTGTAAAGCCACACCTCAAGTGCAGGTCACAGAATGCAGCCCTGAGTCAGGCAAAACAAAAGGATATGTGTTTCCAAGGCAACCAAACCTGAGTTTGAATCCTGGTTTTGTCCCTATGTCACCTTAGAACTTCGGACTTCTCACTGTGAAGCGGGGGAGACTTACGCCCTGTAGGAACTGTCACGAAGGATGGTGTATGTATGTAAAACCTTGCCCCTGGTGCATGGAGTCCTCTGTTCTGCCCACCCATCTCTCAGCACTTGCTTGGCTCCCAGGATCTCTGCTCTTGTCCTCAGACTGGGTGCAGTTCTGAGAACAATGTCAGAAACTCCAGAGCTGCCAGGTGTGGTGGCTCACACCTTTAATCCCAGCACTCAGGAAGCGGAAGCAAATGAATCTCTGTGAGTTTGAGACCAGTCTGGTCTACATAGTGAGGGATACAGAGAGAGACCTTATCTCAAAAAAACAAAACAAAACAAAAAACAAAGCAAAACATCAAGCAAAGAAACACCCCAAACCAAAACCAAACAAAACTAAAGTTCTTGGGTAGCCTATTGGGGTTTGTTAACTTCTCGTCTGCAAGCTATCAAGACACCAGGGTCTGCTCTCTGCGGATGCTGTGGCTTTGGGGGAACCTATGGGAAAAAAAGAGAGACAACTGGAACCACTGGGAGCCTGGCTGTGCTCCTGGCATCTCAAGAGAGCCTTCCCATAGCACAGCTCAATGCCTTAAATCAGGGCTTCCTGCGGTGCCCAGCCGAGCGCCCTCCATAGAGTGCTATAGCCACTGCTGTCCTGGCCGTGCCTCCTCCGAAAGCTCCCTAACATCACTCCCGTCTCTTCCCGTCTTCTTCCAAGCAACACGGAGTTCTTCTGCTTTCCTCTCTCCTGGAATTTCTGTCCCAGAAAGTTCTCTCTAGTCTCTTCCTACGCAGACTCTGTCCAAAACTATTTGAATTTCTCATGAGCTTAAAACAACCTATTCCTTGCTGGCCAGGTGAAAAACAGCTGTACGGCAGCTATTCCGGTATTGTCTTCCTGGGTGTGACCGCACACTCCCGGAACCTCAGGCTGGGACATTGAGACAGGAAGACAGTGAGCCTGAGCCCAGCCTGGGCTACAACAACGAGATCCTATCTCAAACACTCCCAGCCTTTAGAATGTTGCCCAGTTTCACCTGGGCTAGAAGGGTTCGGACAGCAAGATCAGGACCCGATAGTTCTTTTTATTCATGATGAATCTCTCTTTCCAGAGTGATTTTTAGGAAAGTTCATTAAATACATAACATGAGAGGAGATAAGGATTGGATGAAGAAATGGGAAGAGAGGAGGACAAAACTGGCCAGAGGCAGCTATGTTTTCCTATACACGATGTGTGTATGCACACTTCTAAGTACTCCTTTGGTTCAGAACCTGGTCCAACACTATTTTCCTTCAGTCACTGCTTGATATTGATCTTTTCCACAGGCAGTTTAACGTTGTAAATGTTCTGCCCTTATGTAGTGGGGCAGTGGCCACGTGGGGCTTCTGTAGAGAATGCCTCCACCAGCACTTCTGCATCTAGACAGGGACAGGGACAAACATTCTTGTTTGTCCTCCACAACCCACAAGAGAAGCAAAGACTGCAATGGCATATTCCTACACAGCGTGTTTGGATCCAAGGATATTTGGGCTTGGTAAACAGCAGGCAAGAAGTCATCAGGCGAGAGTTAAATCAATCACTGACCCAGAACGCCACGTGGGCACCCATTGTGGAAGACGTTCTCGAGACATGGTATCTCGGGGACAGCAGCTTCACAGTGCAAAGGTCTCGCTGAAGCCTCTATTGCCTGCCCTTGCCCCTGCCAGAGGAGCATGCTGGTGGCAGGATCATTGATGTACCCGCAGTTTTTCCCTCTGCAATGCAGTGCAGGAGTTAGCTCCGATTAGCACAAATCGAAACAACCAGGGACCTCAGTTCTACCTTCAACTTTCCTCAGATATGCACAAGCAGCCTTTAATTTGGTTTCTAGTGTCTTTGGCAAGTGCTTAAAGCTGCCAAGACTGCACACCGTACAAATGTATGGCATCTAAGGGGCTATCACTAACATTTATGCATTTCCTGAAATACAAGCCATGCAGATGACACAAGAATATCTTGAGAGGTGTTGTGGCACCTGTGAGAAAGGGGAGGTGCTAACGAGCAATGTCCTGCTGATGCTTTTAGTTTATTATTTATTTTTTGCAGTTGTTTACAATGCTGTTTCTCAATGAGGAGCAAGAAGGGAGAGAATGCCTTCAATCTGGTTAGACAAGACTGAGAGGGGGATTAGGGCTTTGAGAAGTGAAGGTTGGGCGTGACAGCCCACAACTTCTCTGAGCCCCCTATCTTGAGGGCAACTCACGAGCCCCTGGGATGGATCCTTGTGAGAGACATGAGAACGGATATTGAACCCTCCACTGAGGAAGCTTTACTTGGCAATTGGTTTGGAAAAAGAAGATAGGAGATGAATGGGACTCTCTGGGCACCTGAGGTCCACTCACCAGAGTCTGGGCACCTGGGGTCCCACTCACCAGAGTCTGGGCACCTGGG